AATGGATGTCATTTATCAGTTATCTCCTCTTAATTGCCCTCTCCAAGTCCTCCACTGCCTTAAATTGTTATTTAAACCACACTCTTTGAGTCCTGCTAACGCCTTTATCCACTGTGCCATGTGTCCTTGAGGAGATTTGTGTATGAATTACTGGGACTTATAAACTTAATGTCTCCAGCAACCATTTTTACCAGTGTTCATATTGCAATTTTTGCTGTTATCATTGCATGTTTTTTATCAGTGCTCATATTGAAATTTTTGTTGTTACCATTGCTTTTCTCTGGCACTCCTTATTACTGGTTCCCATATTATATTCATTTCTAGACTTGGTCGACTCAGGAGATTTTTGTGGCCAGCATATGTGCTGATTCCTTAAGTTTACGAATTTTCCAACTTTGGTATTTGTCTATGATTTCAACCTGATCCCACAGAGGGCGGTAATCTCACTTTTCTCTCCATATGTGGTCAGCCACTCCTGGTTTTTCCTCTTGCCCTTGTGTTACAGCTTTTTTGGTGTCCTTGAAGCGTTCCCTTAAGGGGGCGGCCTGTCTCCCCTTTATATTTCTTTCCGCAGCTGCACAGGATGGCGTACACGCAGTCTTTAGTCATGTTCTCCTCTATGGTGGGGTCTTACTCGGGAGGGATATCTGCGAAGTGTTGTCCAGCTTTTTGAAGGTTGTCCTGATGTTATATGGACCGATGATCCTTTGTATTTTCTCTGATAACCCCTTCACATAAGGTAGGCTGACTGTTTTCTAAGTGTTGTTTGTCCTCCTCCTCATGTACCCGCCTATCCCAGTTTTTAAGGACTGCTGCCATGTATCCAGGGTAGTTGTTACATTGTAGGGTACTACTTATACTGACCAATTCTTTATCTAATGTCTCTGGGTCGACACTTATGACTTTTTGCTTGGTGTAGTAAGCTGCGGATATATATATATATATATATATATATATATATATATATATATATATATATATATATATGATTGGATCGTATTTACGATTCCAATGGAGTAAATTGTGATAATAGAATATTAGTGTTTAAGCCTTTACTCTGTCCTGGACATTAAGTTCTACCTGGATTCTATCCTCTTGAATTATTTTTTATACACACACACACACACACACATATATATATATATATATATATATATATATATATATATATATATATATATATATATATATATATATATGTGTGTGTGTATGTGGATGTATGTATGTATGTATATATATTTATATATTTTAGATGTATGATTGCATATCTATGTGTATATTTACCACTAATATTATCTATCTATCTATCTATCTATCTATCTATCTATCTATCTATCTATCTATACATACATGTGTGTGTGTGTGTATGTGCGTGTGTGTGCGTGTGTGTGTGACGCGCGTAAGCTCAATCCTCGAGGGGTAATTTATTCATTTAACATGAAAATTTGATGAAAATATTGCGCTAGATCTGTTCGTCAACTTGTCTCAAGCTTAGTTCTTGAAACGTTGTTATATGTCTCCTTCTGTTTATTTTGAAGTCCCTTTCACTGTCACCTGTAGAATTTAAATCCTTTCTTTTCTTATTTCCCTTGTTTTTTAATTACATATTTTTCGTTTTTACTTAACAGATTTTCTTTCTTTCTTTCTTTCTTTCTTTCTTTCTTTCTTTATTTTCTATCTTTTTTTCTATTTTCTATCTTGCTTTCTTTCTTTCTCCATTTTCAATCTTTTTTTCTTTCTTTCTTTCTTTCTTTCTTTCTTTCTTTCTTTCTTATTTCCGAGTTTTCTTTCTTTCTCTCTTTCTTTCTTTCCTTCTCCATTTTCTCTTTTTTTTCTATTTTCTATCTTGCTTTCTTTCTTCGCTTATCTCATTTTCTTTCTTTCTCCATTTTCAATCTTTCTTTCTTTCTTTCTTTCTTTCTTATTTCCGAGTTTTTTTTCTTTCTTTCTTTCTTTCTTTCTTTCTTTCTTATTTCCGAGTTTTCTTTCTTTCTTTCTTTCTTTCTTTTTTCCGAGTTTTCTTTTTCTTTCTTTCTTTTTCTTTTTTTTTTTTCCATCTTTCTTTCTTTTTCTTTTTTCTTATCTTTCTTTCTTTCTTTCTTTCTTTCTTTCTTTCTTTCTTTCTTTCTTTCTTTCTATTGTGTCCAAAAAACTGACATTGCTTTAATGCTTGTAATCTAAAAAATTCACCAATAACGAAGTGTCGTAAAATATTTGCAAACAAGTTTCTCTTGATATTGCTACGAGAGACGACAAAGAGGGACGTGGTAAAATCGATGTGGGTGAATGAATGTCGAATCGATTATCCATAATTAGCCGTTTAACTATTCATGAGGTTCAGCCCGTTTGGTAAAAAAGTAAACAAAAAGTTCCAATTCTTTGGCATCAAAAAAAAAAAAAAAACAGAAAAAATTAAATTGAGAACGAAATCTGGCGAAACAGATTTTTTTTTTTGTGAGCTAAAACAACCAAAAAATAATTTGCCAAAAATGGGTAAAGACGTCCGAGTTAAAGCTGAGATTGAAAATAAATACAAGTTTAAACAGTAACAAGTTAAAACGTTTTCGAATAATTTTGGAAATGGTGGAAAATGAATGCATCTCTGCGACTCATAGCACGAGGAACAGTAGCAAAATTTACTCAATTGTTTTAATGCTGAAAATTACGGAATATGAAGTTTACAAATTATTTTTTGAATGGAATGAAAGATAGAGCTTGAGGCAAATAATGAGAGAAGTGGTGATCCCATATTCAGCCCTATATTTTATTTAACGCCTGGGTTCATTAATTACACTTGTAACGTGAAACTTACATTCTCCTGTTTAGTGTCTAACCAACTCTTCTCTGGGGTGGACATTTAATTAATTCCCTGTGATATTAAGCACCCTCTCTGCCTTTCATCAGCACGGCTGATGCTAACCTCCAGGAGAGTGACACGTTGCGCCTTCTCGGGCTAACGTTCTCAGCTGATATGAAGTGGAAAGACTATAGTGAATCCATTGCTAGATCAACTGCTGAGAAAGTTGGTTCACTGTGTCATGATAGACAATTTGTCTCTTCAGAATCTTACATATCTATAAGTCTACGATTCCTCCATGCTTAGAATATTGCAGTCATATAGTCCAGTGCTTCTGCTATTTACCTAGATTTCATTGATAAAATCCAAAGAAGAATCAGCAATATTATTGGTCCTGATCTGGCGGCTCGGCTTCAGTCCCTTCCCTACCGCTATAAGGTTGCTTCCATGTTTTTTTTTTTAAAAAAATACTTCCATGTCATTGTTCAGATGAGCTCTTCTTTATGATACCTAGCCGTTTTGAATTTAAGCGCAGTACTAGACTGGCAAGGAGTTCGGATCAATTTACGGTTTAGTTGGCTAGATGTAACCGTAAGTTCTATGCTAACAGTTTCTTTCCTCGCACTTCTTGCTTGTGGAATTGCCTTTCTTGCTCCATGCTTTCCAGCCAACTTTAATCTGTAAAAATCTAAATGCAACGTCAATCGCTGTCTTTGCCTTCCTGATTGCTCTTTTCGTTTTCGCACAATCGTTATGTTTTTTTTTTTTTACTAATTCTTCCACACCCAGTAACCATTTGTGCCTTAGTGGCTTTACTGCCTTGCTTGGAGGAAATTCTATTAAAAGGTATGATTTTTCGCTGTCTGAAGTCCCGGTGGAACTGTAATATAAAGTGATTCTGTATTCGGCAGCTGGGAGAACATCTCAAGACAAACATATACCTGTCACCCGTCTAGGGTCTGTTGAGATATTTAGTTTAATTTCTATTTTGGCATGATCTGGGCTGATACACACACTGTATTGGAAATCTTGGAATCATATGAAGGGGTGTAGTAAAAAGGCCGGACATGGTTAAAATCTGGGACGAAATAAAACTATCCCGACATCAGCAGTTGACAAAAGGTTCAATTTAGAGCAGGTTTGAATACTGAGTAAATTCTCTCTCGGCACTGCTGTGGGAATAGTGGATAGACAGGGAAAGGAATAAAAAGGGGGGAAATTGCTTTCGTACACACGCTGACAATAGAAATTGTTTGGATAGTGATGACAAAAGCGATAATTCTGTTGTTGGAACATGGGGTCAACCAAGTTCCTTCCCTGTTCGCCATGGTGGAATTAGCGATTATCCATCCAAATCCCGAAGGAGTAACTTATCTTTGATTTTCTGTCAGATCCCACGAATATCAACACATTGATTAATCGGATCAAATTTTGAACAGTGGGTTCCGATGGCTTTTGGCTATCGAATTACTAGCTCATGAATATTCATAACGCATTTTGTTTGCTTGCATTAATATTCAGTGTTTATTATTTAAATGAATGAAATGGAAGCTACTCCCTCCTCCATATTCTATTCTTTCGATTTTATAACGTGTTTGCGTTTTTTATATTTTTATATATTATTCCTACATCCTCATCATCATCATCGTCATCATCTACTTCTCCCTCGCTTTCCAACGCCTTCTTCTTACTCCTCCTTCTTCTTTGTTATCGTCTTCCTCTGCCACCACCTTTTTCTTACCCCTCCCTCTTGCTCCTCCTTCCCCCACATTCTTCTTCTTACTCCTCCTCCTCTTCCGTCTTCTTCTTCTTCGTCTTCTTCTTCTTCTTACTCCATCTCCTCTTCCGTCTCCTTCTTCTTCTTCTTCTTCTTCTAATAATGATAAATAAAATGCTAACACTGTCAAAATGGGGAAGTAAACAAACCAGGAATTCTTGAACTTTTAAGTTTGGCGCACCATTTTCGCTTCCACCTTTTGTTTGGGCTTTGAGGAAGATGAAGAAAAAAGTTAATGGCTTAACACTCAAGAAAGCGAGGTTAAGAAGAAGAAGAAGAAAAAGAAGAAGACGGAAGAGGGGGAGGAGTAAGAAGAAGAAGAGGAAGAAGAGAAAAGGAAGAGATGAAGAAGATGAAAGAAAGAAAGAAAAAGAAGACGAAGAAGAAAAGGAAGAAGAAGAAGATGAAAGAAAGAAAGAAAGAAAAAGAAGACGAAGAAGAAGAAGAAGAGGAAAAGGAAGATGAAGAAGAAAGAAGAAGATGAAAGAAAGAAAGAAAGAAAGAAAGAAAGAAAAAGAAGACGAAGAAGAAGAAAAGGAAGAAGAAGAAAAGGAAGAAGAAGAAAGAAGATGAAAGAAAGAAAGAAAAAGAAGACGAAAAAGAAGAAGAAGAAAAGAAAGAGGAAGAAGAAAAAAGATGAAAGAAAGAAAAGAAAGAAAGAAAAAGAAGACGAAGAAGAAGAAGAAAAGGAAGAGGAAGAAGAAGAAAGAAGATGATGAAAGAAAGAAAGAAAAAGAAGAAGAAGAAGAAGAAAAGGAAGAGGAAGAAGAGGAAAGAAGATGATGAAAGAAAGAAAGAAAAAAAGAAGAAGAAGAAGAAGAATAAGAAGAGGAAGAAGAAGAAGAAGAAGAAGAAGAAGAAGAAGAAGAAGAAGAAGAAGAAAATAACTGAAAAAGTTGGGGAGAACAATAATAATAATAATACGGAAATGAGTGATGATAAAAAGAAGCTGAGGGCAGAAATAAAGAAGAAGAAAGTGAAGTAGAACAAGAAAGAAAGAAAGAAAGAAAGAAAGAAAAAAGAAAATGTGTCAATGAATGTCGCTGATCGTAACAGCAGAGTAAAAATGATGGTGTGGTAAAACTGAAAGAAAGAAAAAAAAATGGGACTTTGCAAATGAATCGATAAAAGTGAAATATGAAAATGACAGTGGTGCCCATTATTATCAAAGTACCTGGAACGGTCTCAATACGTCTGCGAAAATATTTAGAATAAAATATGAAAGAATCGGAGTCCTCTAGATGTTGGTCTATTCAGTGATCAATTGGCTCGTTTGATGGTATAGAATCTATTTCTTAGCAAGGTGGGCAATTCGTCATTTGTCTGCAGAACGACGTTCATTTGGTCAGATATTTCAACCACTTAATAATATCGAAAGATATTCCCTAGTGAAGTCATTGAATTAAACGTGAAATTTGAATCCCAGGAAGATGAATAAAAAGACTCCATGAAAAATGTGTTGAAATCTATTGTATCCCTTCTTTTTCAAGAAATAATTTAACAAAGTACTTTTTTTTCCCAAAATACGATCAAAAGGCATAAATGTTCAAAGATCGATTCCTGCAAGGAAATCATTACCATAAAAGTGATGTATGCTTAGCTGTTTCTACTCTTGAAAACCAGGTGTTCGATTATCGAAGAATGAAACCAATTACCTGGCATTTCGGGCGTAACATCAAATGCAATAAACATCAGAGAAGTTCATAAAAATTAACGGACACATTAATTTCTGAAACAAATATATTGTTTTGTTATTTTCCTTCATTTTTTTTCTGAACACAAAATGGCGAATTTAGTGACAGGCCTAGTTTTGTTTGAATTTATTTATTTTATTCATGCGTCTCTTCCAGAATAAAATAAATAAATTATTAAAACAAAACAAGAATCCATGACTGATTGATATTCTGACATGAATAGTGGAAATGTCTGATCTCACCAAAATTGATCCTAACCATTTTCTACATCAGTAACTAAAACGAACTCCGCTTCCATAATCATTTGACCATAACTAATGGCGCAAAAAAGTGATAAATTATTAAAAACTTAGTGAAGGTTTTCAAAAGAAATGATGTTATTTCTGTCCCGTAATAATTGCTATATCTAGTGTATGCAAATGTGTATGCAAATGTGCCAAATATTATGGGATACAGGGAGTGTTATAAAAGAAATCCTCTGAAAGAATATACGCAACTTATTATTTACTCAGATGCACTTTCGTTTACAACTCTATAAAAAATGTCTTAAAAAAATAATTGTCAGACTTTGTCCATTTCATAATGTGTGACGTCATTTGTTTACATTTGGATACGCATTGAGCAGATATGAATGTATGAGAGAAAATCATGGAGAATTGTGTTTAAAAACAGTAAAATCGACCTTGCTAACCGAAACGCTCCTCTGTGGCCCAATCGGTTAAGGCACGTCAGGCTGTATGACGGTTCCATATAGGATACAGGTTCGATACCTGTCGGAGGACGCATATTTTCTGTGAGAATTTCTCGGACATTCAGGCTGGTAAATGTTGTTAATACTGTTTATTATAAACAGAGCATTATCTTCTACTGCAACAGTTTCTGTTCTCGCACTTCCCGGCAGACGAACTCCCTTCCGCTTACTTGTTTCCCTGTTAAATACAATCTTCAAAAATTTAAATGCAACGTCAACTGCTATCTTCTATTGATATGAACCCCCTTCATCTTTTATCCTTTCCTCAATCCACCCCCTATACCCAGTCTCTTTCCTTACAGTCTGTAACCCCCTTGTGTGCTTGTGGCGTTTTTCTTTTGCTTGGGGTGAAATGATTTTAAAATAAGACATTGGGTAATTTAAATTTTAGACAGACAGATAGATAGATAGAGAGAGAGAGAGAGAGAGAGAGAGAGAGAGAGAGAGAGAACGGGACAGACAGAGATAGAGATATTGAAAGCTAGATAGAGAAATAGAGTTGTAAATGAAGGGGCATCTGCGTAAATAATAAGTTGCGTATATATGTTGCATTTTTGTGGTGCTGGGGAGTAGGGTAAACTCAAGGGCTCCCCCGAGTGGCTCACGCATTCTGACTCAGGCGGCACATACTCTAGGTACGCCACTGTGCTAACACACGAAACCAAAAGAGGAATGTTTCAATTCATGCTCAATTCTTTTTCAGTTTTAAAAAACAACTGCTGAGATGTTTTCAATTCTGTCGACTATAGAATGCACACCATTTTCAGCTTTGGCCTGAAAATATCGAACTGAATCATTTAACGTGTCACAACTCTCCACAAATACAACCGTCAAATGATCTGACTTAAGATTCCTTGGATTAGCAAATATTCCTCTTAGTAACAAAATCGCAGCCCTTAATTTTCATAGCTAGCACTAATCACTCAAACAATTAACTCCGTAACTAATAAACACCTTCCCAATGGACACATCCATCAACTCTTGACAATCGCGCGTGCCTTAGCATGAGGTCTGCAAGTGAAACCTATCTTAGGATAACTCCCGAATGAGCTGACATATCAATTATTGTCTTCTTTTTTTTTTAATGCCATGTTCCTTATAGGGCATAGGGGGTCATAACTTCCATAAAATCAGTTTATATATTGGCTAATTTGGGGGAGACATTTCTCGGACGGTCAGCGAGAATCGAACACACTCCTACAGAATTGTGAGTCACATGTTAGCCACCATATTCACAAAAATACAGAGAATAGGTATTCAGCCAAAGGTTTATACATCGTCTCCTGGACTGGCTGCTTCCTAAGGATCGGGAACCCAATCTAGACTACTATTTAACCCACGGAGGGGAGCGAGGAGAAAAGAGACTGATTTAGGCGTTTTCTAAGGGCATGGCTACAAAAAGTAATGTAGCAGGATTGGAACCCGGCTCGTCGTTTTCATTTTCCGATGCACCGATAACCGTTAAGTTTCCCGCGCACTCGTCATCTGGGCTATTTTAAAAAAAACAAAACAAAAAAAAAACATTTGGTCGTCAAATATTTCCCTCGACCTAAAAACCTAAAAAACAGATTCAGTTTTAGTCAACTTTTCACAATCGCCAATAAATCAAATTTTGACATCTGTTTTCCTCTTTCAACATGCATTAGTTGGATTTTAATCTTAAATTTCCCCTTTATAATTTGTTTTTCTATTTGATTAATGGAACTGTCTTGTATTAAGTGCATTGACAAGGAAAGTGATTATTATGAACAACGCATTTTTATTTTGTAAAATAAATGTTTTTCATCATTAAGCTACGCACTTTACCTTTATATATATATATATATATATATATATATATATATATATATATATATATATATATATATATATATGACTTGGCAAAAGAAAGATTTTAAGAAGACTTTTTGCATGAATGTTAGCAGTCCTCCTTATCTTAGGGGAGATAAGTGGGATAGATTTCAAAATTACGATCGTGACGTTTCAAGATGGAGAATTGTGCGTGGATTGGCGTCTACAGCCTCTAAATAAGGGTTTTGCGTGACGTGATCAATCTAGCTGAAAAGTTTGCAGTCGACTTGGAGTTTCTCTTTTCTAGGTAAATAACTGAACCGATTGTATACGTTTCCCTCTTAAAGAGCATTTCGAACAAAATGTTGGATCGGAAGAGATTGAATCACTAATCCTGCTCCAGTCGTTTCAGGGATTGCATTTTATCTTATTAAATTCTTGCTATAAAGGTGAACTAAATAAAGGCCCGTTTTTCTGCTTCTCCACTTAACCAAGCGATAGAAATAAGATGGTAATTGCTAATTTATTGAAAGAATGGAGATCCGGTTTCGTTAAATTATATTTAATGATATCGATAATAATAGCCGATTATATGGATATATAATTTATTTTAAAGAATTATCAATAACTAGACACTTATGTAGGCACGCACAGACACAGACACACACACAGACACACGCACAAACAACACACACACACACGCATATATATATATATATATATATATATATATATATATATATATATATATATATATATATAGTAAGATAAAAATCTGTTGGTATATAATCCAGGTGGGTCCTAATAATATAAAATATTAAAACTGATCCACAAAAAGAGCTCAATGTATTTATTATAACAGAGCATATAAATTACGCAACAGAGAAATACCGTATTGCCTCAGAAGTAATGTAGTAATTTTGGATTTCTCTGTTATGTAAATTAATATATATATATATATATATATATATATATATATAAGAGTTTCACCCCAAGCAAGGCGAGAGGCCACTAGGACGCAAGGGGTTACAGAAGATCAGATAGGAGTGACAAAAGAAAGGATGAGGAGAAGGATAGTGGATAGATCAAGGCAACTGGAGATGTCGATTGACATTACATTTGAATAGTTGGAGATTATAGCTCTCAGGGAAATTGGAATAGGGAAGGGAGTTCCACAGGCGAGAGGTGCGAGACATGAAGCTATTGGAGTAGAAGAGACGGCTACATTTAGAAGTTTCGACAGTTAAAGGGTGAGAGCGTGATGCCAGCCTCGTAGGTCGCTTGAATTCATGAAGTCTGGGAACCAGCGAATGCAGCACCTCGGAGCAATTGCCATGAAAGTATTTGTAAAAAAGACAGAGAGAGGCGACGGCGCGTCTGTGAGAAAGTGATATATATATATATATATATATATAGATATAGATATATATATAGATATGATTAATATTTATTTGGGCAGCAGCATTTCTTTTAAACATTTTTCGTTAAATATGATAGAGAAGGAAAATTTTATTACTCTTTTATTTAGTTTTCCAGCATTCTTCCGTTTTTTCCGTTTGTTGGAAATAAGGAATTACAAAAATTATCCATTTTGTCCATTGCCCCAAGCGCTTTCTGTCTTTTCTTTAGACATTTTCAGGGGGGGGCAGTGTTTTATTTAAGTCTTCTTAGCTTGTTTTCATGTATTGACAGCAGGAATATAAGGGATCAGTGGGTGAATATGATTAATATCTATTTGGGCAGCAGCATTGTCGCAAGCTCTTTCAGTTTCTTTAGGCATTTTCCAGGGGGGTGTTTTAGGCGTGCTTTATTTTAACCTTGAAAATGGCTAAAAAGTGTCAGAAAACGCTTGGGACAAAGGACATTAGCCAAAATGTCTGTACTCCTTTACCTCCACAAAGCGGGGGGAGGACATAAAAACGTTGGAAAAAACATTCATTGGAAGTAAGAGAAAGTAATTTACCCAGAAGGAAAATTCTCGAGAGTGCTGCTATTGAATGTTATTAAAATATAAATTTGCGCCCAGGTTTCTTTCCAATATCACTCATCCTGAAGGAATTACGACTTTCCCAATCCAATATACACGACAAAAATGTTTTAAACAATCAAAAGGAAATGTTTATATGTATTATCTCATCATTTAGAAGATGTACCGCACATCTGTCCATTCCGAAACATAACAATCGAATCACAATTAAACAATATTTATTTTAAAATAAGTATTTTTTTAAATATTACTCGTTTACTTTTGTCTCATTAAACCTTGACTTTATGCTTTGAGTAGCCTTTCAACCAGAGAATAATTATTTATGAATTTTGTCAAATTTAAAAGCTTTGATAAACCGATGACATCCTCGTTTTTGTATATAAACACCTGCAACAAAATGAACCATACATTTGCATTGCTAAGGTCCCTCATAGGAGAAAAAGTGTTGCCTAAGTTTTTCCTCTTGTCTTTCATCAAACATAATAGACATTCATTGGCTGTTGTATTTAGTATATATATATATATATATATATATATATATATATATATATATATATAAAAGTTGCAAATTAAAAAATAATGTTTTATTTTATGAAAGTATTTATATATATATATATATATATATATATATATATATATATTTTGATATTTCAAATTGCCCTCAATCTTTCATCAATAATAATAATCTGTTACAAATAAATTAAAATTACTGTTTGTTAGCAAGTAGCGTCCTTCGCGAGACGCGGACGTCACGTGATATGGAACGTCACTGTTCGGATATTCCTAACTTAAATCTAACTGTCATAAATATTTTAAATGTTGTTTAAATTTTTTTTTTAACTATATCGAAAAAATGGCTTAACTATTGAAATATTTATAAAGATTTAAAACACCCATGTCCCTATTCAACCCTAGTTTATGTGTATTTAATTTTAAAATCCAATATGTTTCTTTTTTTCTGCGTGTGTATGTGGAACTCAAATCGGAATCTATCAATAAACATTTGCAGTTTTCTAATGAGTGTCCTGATTGATTAAAGTGTTTATATATATATATAAAGATATGTTGTTAAATACAACAGTCAGTGAATGTCTATTATGTTTTATCAGGAGCCGTTCTAAACTTCGTATATTTGCTTTAATTTCGGGTGAAAATAAAGACGGAAACTGTCCAACATTTGAATATTTTTTTATTAGATTGTTCCTTGATCTAAGCTTTCGACTTACATGAGCCATCTTCAGAGTGGTTATATGGAGATTTAAACAAAGATATTCACCATCAAAGATGATATTCTGTTATGTTGACATAGATGTTTGCTATGCGACGAAAGATGAAAGATGAAGATGGGTCATGTATGCCGAAGGCTTAGATCAAGGAGGGCTTAATAAAAAAATATCCAAAGAACAATAAAAAAAATGTTAAAAAATTAAAACTTTAGACACACTCCGTTGTATATTAATATTTTTGTTTCATCATTTAAATAATGTTCCGTGACTAGTTTCGGCCAGCATGGCCATCATCAGGAGAAAAAAACCCTGCTTGTTAGTGATAATGAACTACAGGAGTGAATGACTGTCTCTAAAGAAAATGAAAGTTGCCTGTCGTTAATTTTCGGTCAATCCTTGTATTGAACAAAATGTCTCTTTCAAGTTCTTTTAAGGAGAGGCTGGGAGACTCATGAATATTAGATGTACATCTTTAGT